CAAGTGACTCCATCTTTCATTAGCTTTCATGCATTGTTATACATATGCTATTATCCCTAGAAACCCAATTAATTACATGAAAGACACTGTATGTTTAATTACATGAAAGACACATAAAATGACTAATCATGTATGTGCAAAAGGCCTTTGCGATGGGATTTAATCGCCACAAATAATGACCTCAGACTAAAGGTGATACCACTATTACTATAAGCACTCGGTTGGAAATTATGATGCTTATGAGTTATGGAATTGCAACGAATCACCATGCTTGTACTCAGTAGCAATTTGCGATGCTTTCCAGTTAAAGAGCCCAGTATTACAATATGTAACATCTGAGCAATATGTTTCATTTCGAGTATTGAAGGTCCTCAATTCACTCTGTGCCTCAGCCGCCACCAATAGGTCAGCAGGGTTGATGGCTACTCCTGTACGTAGGATACACCAGTTTATCATCATCCTTAGTGACAATTAATATATCTGATCAACTGTCCCTGTGGACTCAGTGCCACTATCCTGTTGTTGTAACAGTCAGCAATGAAGATGTGACCATAGCTGTCTGTACACCTTACCCATGGTACATACAGCTGACCAGCACCTCTGCCTCTTGTGCCATGCTGGTACAATTGGTCACCAGTAACTGGCAGCACATGTACACAGTCACTGAGCAAGCCTGATATCTCAATGTTAAAATGCAAACTTTAAACTGTTATGTGTTGTGAATCAGAGGGCTGTTATGGTTTCTGTGATGAAATTATTACCAAAATGGTTATTTGCAACTACTTAGCAAGTACTAGAGCACTGTCTTAATCATGGACAGTGTCAATCTATCGTCTTTTCACTGTGGTTAAATTCCATCTGCATTAAATTGGCTTGCCCGTATATTTATAAAGATATTTGATGTTGTGTGTTAATGAAGAAAGTACAGCATAGACAGCACTATAGACAAAAGCAGATGCGGCTGAGGAGTGAATGTCCAGACAGAGTCTGTCCATAAAAAGGAAAACAAGACATACACTGGTGTGTAATTTATATATTGAAATAAACACAAATGTCAAAAGATATGAATCTTAAGGTGATTACTGTAATAACTGGATTATCTATTTACACAGATTAAATCAGTTATTTAGAGAGGTATATATATATATCCNTATTCTTACTGCCTTCTTACAGCATTATAAATATTACTAATTTTCCAACTACATTCGAACTGCTTTTGAGAGCTAATACAGTCGAAAGTGCACTCATCATTCCAGGTGAATTCAAGCGCATTCTGAGTATTCCAACGGTACTTTTACAATTATTAAGGTCAATTTGAATTTTTCCCCGAATGTGGTGCGAATTTTAAAAATTCTTCGTTCAGGCTCATTCTTCTTCATTCCTGCTGATTCCGAATAAGTGTCACGATGGCTTTATCCGAAGCATGCAGGCACCAACAGATCGCAGCCTGCATTATAGCATTCCGAGGCCCTACTCAGTATTGACTGTTGAGACTTTGTGTTTGGCAAGTGCCAATTTCTTTTGCTAAGTATTTTTTTACTTTGGAATTATTTTTGAAACTTAAAATTATTTGTCTCTGTATCTCTGTATGCCAATATTCATAACAAATGATCCATATGAAAAAAACCCAAATTTTGACTTTAAAATAGCAATGTCGACAATAATTCTCAATTACTCGCCTTTTACGGATACTTGATCTTAAATGTACACAAAGTCTGTGCATTTTTGTGCTTTACAAACAAAAATGGGAGAAATGAAAATTAACTATAAAATCGTATAAGTCCCAGAAAAAATTTACCAGTTCATTAAAAGAATATCATCAAACAGCCGTTCTTTTTAATTATTTTTAATTGAAATGAACATATTACAAGATCAAAGATGTTACACGATAAATGTGAAGACTTTTGCATATGTCTATGCTTTAGTGGGAAGATCATACAGAAGATAACCCACACGTCAGTTTTTGAAAGATGGATGTCGTTTTCATAAAGTATTGTCAGTATTTTACTTCAATGTTAACAAAGTGACCTTCCTGTTGTGATACTTGATTGTTTGACAGATAATTATTATCAAAAGACTACACAGATGAACATTCATCAGAAAATATAACATGATATATGAAATGTTGAAAGTTGATTTATGCATGACAAAACATGACTTTAGCACATGAAAATTTACCGCAAGTTTTTTTCTATCAGAGCTGTCGAGTGACTCCATCTTTCATTAGCTTTCATGCATTGTTATACATATGCTATTATCCCTAGAAACCCAATTAATTACATGAAAGACACTGTATGTTTAATTACATGAAAGACACATAAAATGACCAATCATGTATGTGCAAAGGCCTTTGCTATGGGATTTACTCGTCACAAATAATGACCTCAGACTAAAGGTGATACCACTATTACTATAAGCACTCGGTTGGAAATTGTGATGCTTATGAGTTATGGAATTGCAACGAATCACCATGCTTTTGCTCAGTAGCAATTTGCGATGCGCTCCAGTTAAAAAGCCCAGTATTACAATATGTAAAATCTGAGCAATATGTTTCATTTCGAGTATTGAAGGTCCTCAATTCAATCTGTGCCTCAGCCGCCACCAATAGGTCAGCAGGGTTGATGGCTACTGCTGTACGTAGGATACACCAGTTTATCATCATCCTTAGTGACAATTAATGTATCTGATCAACTGTCCCTGTGGACTCAGTGCCACTATCCTGGGGTTATAACAGTCAGCAATGAAGATGTGGCCATAGCTGTCTGTACACCCTACCCATGGTACATACAGCTGACCAGCACCTCTGCCTCTTGTGCCTTTCTGGTACAATTGGTCACCAGTAAGTGGCAGCACATGTACAAGGTCACTGAGCAAGCCTGAAATCTCCATGTTAAAAAGCAAACTTTAAACTGTTATGTGTTGTGAATCAGAGGACTGTTCCCATAGTGTTTTCTGTGATGATTTTTTTTACCAAAATGGTTATTTACAACTACTTAACAAGTACTTTCTAGTACTAGAGCACTGTCTTAATCATGGACAGTGTCAATCTATCGTCTTTTCAACGTGGTTAAATTCCATCTGCATTAAATTCTGTAGGGACTTTGGCTTGCCCGCATATTCATGAAGATATTTGATGTTGTGTGTTAATGAAGAAAGTACAGCATAGACAACACTATAGACAAAAGCAGATGCGGCTGAGGAGTGAATGTCCAGACAGAGTCTGTCCATAAAAAGGAAAACAAGACATACACTGGTGTGTAATTTATATATTAAAATAAACACAAATGTCAAAAGATATGAATGTTAAGGTGATAACTGTAATAACTGGATTATCTATTTACACAGATCAAATCAGTTATTTAGAGAGGTATGTATATTTAACTTTATGTCTCCTCCATCTCAGTGTACCACCAACTTTTATAGTCTCATTCATAGCAAGAAAGAAGGCAACAAGGAATATTGTTTGTTCGTGATTTAGCCAAACCAGGCCGCTTTTATTATATAACCCCTCTATCCTAATCGTTTTAACAATAATAACAATGTAGCAAATTGTTGCCTGTATTAAATGTTATGGCCTTAGGGATAAAGATTATATATCAAATATTCAATGAGACTCATCATCCTAAAAATTATGATGCGACGAGTCAGCAAAAGTTATTATTTACCAACAATTTTGCACAAATTTCATTTGTGGTAAAATGAAATTTTTTGAACTGAAGATTTCAGTTGCAGATTTGAGATAACTTGTAGCTTAATTGTATCATGCTCGTGAACAGATGAATCAAGCAAACTGAGGCCAGGCAGTGATGCCCCATGGTATAAGTAGCAACATGTGCCTCAAAGGAGATTACCCCTCTAGTGCACAATTGAGCATGTGCAGAATGGACATGTGCATAAATAAGCTCTGGAGATTGTTGTTGCCATAAAATGTCGTTTGACTACGCCAAACTTTCCTATCTGTTGTCAGTATTTTATAATCCAATATTTACTGGTACTTCACAAGTACTTTTCAGGAGTGTCTTATTTAAGTTTTGTTGGAATTTTCAGCTAAATATTTACTAGAGGCTCTCAATTAAGTATTTTCAGCATTTTCAGTTATGTATTTACAGGTATTCTACAATTACTTAAGTACTGTCAGTATTTTCAAATCAATTTTACAAGTATTAGACTGTCTTCTTTCATATTGTCAGTATTTAAGTCAATTTTTACAACTACTTAACAAGTACTGTCTGTTATCAAGCATTGTCTGTAATTTCAGTTCAGTATTTACAAGTAATTAACAATTACTAAATTGTCTTAATTAAGTATTGTTAGTACTTTTGATTCAATATTTACAATCACTATAAAAGTGCTAGGGCGTCTTAATTATTCTGAATATTTTCAATTCAATATTTGATTAATATATGACATTATTGTCAGCTAAATATATACAAATACTTTACAACTCCTAGATTGTCTTGATTAGTATATGACATTTTTTCAGCTAAATATATACAAGTACTTTACAACTACTAGATTGTCTTGATTAATATATGTCATTTTTTTTTCAGCTAAATATATACAAGTACTTTACAACTCCTAGATTGTCTTGATTAGTATATGACATTTTTTCAGCTAAATATTTACAAGTACTTTACAACTACTGGATTGTCTGAATTAATTACGTGTCATTGTTTTCAGCTAAATATATAAAAGTACAGGAATGTCTACACTGGCTCTGATGATTGTAAACAGCAGCAGATACTTCTCTGAGGACACCTCTACACATGGTATTATGTGTTTTAGTAGAGATGAGTATCACAGCACAAATAATGCTCTTAGTAAAAATGTGGTAAATATCTATATCATGGAATGACCCTTTGTAGATTTTCAGCAGGTTTGTTCAATATCACTGGAAATAGAAAGTCACCTTATCTATCTGATGAGAATATCTAAACAATGCAAGTAATATGGTGGGAATACACCATAGGTTCCTATTCAACCATGACCCGATAAAAATCTTGACACATACTGTCAAACACCGTAGTTTTAATGTGCTCCAATAGGGTATGGGTGGAGCTTAAATTCCTAACGCCAACGGCTCTTCACAAAAAGGCCGATCACTTCCAACTTCCTGTTTCTGTAATTCATCCTCTACATCCTGGCTGCTAACTTCTAGTTCATCTGCCAGATGAGAATGTTGGCATTGTCTGAGGGCATCTTTCAAGCATTTGATGGGTCGTTTTTCAGGACTGCTTGCAATTAGTCTTTCAAACAACTTTCTACAGGCATCATGTGGATTTTCCCTGGCACTATTTCTAAGCACTGTAATCTCCTCATCGGGTATCATATCATACTGATAAAAGTAATTCAAAATTCTTCCAATGTCAATATGAATTTCTTCAGCAAAGCGAATTCCATTCTGTCTAAGTTTCTTATACTCCATTTCACTCTTAAGTCCATTCTAGAAAAGAAATATAAAGTGAGTTAGTAGTTTGTGTGGATAGATGCTTGTTCAAACCTTATCATAAAGTTCACTTCTGGCAACAATCAATTGTTTGCTATTTAAAACAAGTTACAATCAAAATATCATTATTTTCTCTTTCTGTATATAAGTCTTAATAACGTTTTATGAAGATCTTGAAGAGATAAATTTGCCAAGGAGTACAGATATTTCAGAGGTATCCATAGTGTAAAATCACTGAAGCCAAAACATGTCATACTGTTTATTTAAGTGACAAATTCCACAAAAAGCTGATTACTTCATTAGACCAAATGGTCAATTACCTTGACTTCATCAATCAAATCTTGTGGAATGTCTAGTTCTCCTTCTGTGTGGCATCCCTTTAACTTTAACAACACACTGATGAAAGATGCAATAGAACCCTCAACTTGAGACAACAAAAAAGCCACAACATCAGGAGGACATGGGGTTTCATCTGAAATGCCATACATCTTCTTCACTTGGTCCCATACATCATCTTGACAAAGTGTCTCATTCAGTCGTTTTTTCACACGTGGAGGGATATGTTTATGAAACGATGTTGTCACATCGTTCTCTCTCATGTGTGTCATTGATGCCTTTTCTGAGTTATAATATTGATTTACCAGCTGCAAATTGAAAGTAACATTTGTGTTGCCTGTGTTAGCAGGGAGCTGTCTTAGAACCCCAGCAATCCCATGTGTCACTGCCGTAGGTAATCTTTCTAACTGATTATTCCCATGGGCCTGGTTAAGAGCTTCATTTCCCATTGTTCTGGTGGTTTGAGGATCAGTTACACTCTGGTCTTGATCCCCAGCAGCCACAGGGTCCTGTTGTGGGTGTAAAGGTGGGAAATCATGGCCTGATTTCCTCCTTGTTTGAAAGTGGTCACCACCTTGTTCCTGCAGATGGAGGTCAGTGACTGGCTCCTGAGGTAGTCTGCTATGCTGGGATTCTACTTGTTGCTGATGGGGTATATTTGGTCCTGTTGACTCACCAGGTGGTGTCTGAGATTGGAAATTGCCTTGTTGCAACCTTTGGTTGCCAAAGTTGGGTAGAAATGGTGGTGGATTTGCTTGGTATTGGCCTGGTACAACCATCTCCCTTGCTGTTTGAGATTGGAAGTATTCCTGCTGACCACCAATGTTGGATTGAAACCTAGGTTGATTCTGTAGGTATGGGTCTTGCTGGTAATACTGCTGGTTTGGTCTCAACTGAAAGTGGTTGCCACCATGCCTCTGCAGTTCACCTCCTGGCAATGGGTGTGAACTCCTTTGTGGAGCAGATCTTAGGCTTTCTGGACCACCAGAATAACAACCAAGATTGTATAAGTCCATAGGGGGGGCAACCTGAAAAACATAACAAGAAGTAAACATTACATAAGTGGCCTAGCAACAGTAATTCTTTTTAACAAAATACCTCAAGGTTATAAAGGAGGTGTCCAACTATTCTGGTTCTATTTATCAACACTGCACAGGTTACTGAAAATTCTTACATAATCATGGATTTTGAAGACTTCCAATTGGTTTAGAGGCAGTCACCTGAGTCCAATATTTTTAGTTATTTACCTCACCCTTCACCTTGGATATCAACTGCCCCTGTATGAGCTAATGTCATCAATAAGTGCTCAATGTGTTTTAAAGCAATAATAGCTCTTCCTTTGAGATTCAAAATTCCGCAAGATATTCATTGTAAACAACGCATAGAAATATATTATATTGCATTTTACCACCAAAACGGATGTTATTGTAGTAAAACTAATATCTGTGCTTATCTATTGGGCTTTCGATGCATTTCTTTCTGGTCATCAAGGCATCCGTTGCCAATGACTTTGGGGTGTCACGCGGATTCCTGCGTTCATTTGAGACCAAAATAACATATAGCACCAAATATAAGAAAGTAGATGTGATGCAACCTCAGACGTAAGTTGCGAGTTGTTTGTACAGTGAGTCGGAAAACGAAAAGCCCAGAACTGCACACATTGTAGATATAAATGCATATTGAGCAATAAGACGGATATATCTTATGAATCTTATATTATTGTTATATAGTGTTGTTGTTGTCTGCTTTTCCCGTGGTTTTAAATAGGTCACCAGTAAATATAGCTCAATATTATATCGCATGACTATGCAATGTCAGAGAGGGCTCCATCAGTTAAAATCTCTGAACAGATTTTAACAAAAAAACAAAATTTAGGAAAAAAATCCTGGAATAACTTTGAATGCAGGAATGGGGTCGTTGACCATTGGTAAGTACGAGAAAATTGCCGTTTACTCCATGAAAATCCAATTTTTGGCCAAAACAAAGAGTTATTATGACTTTAAGTAAATTATCTTTAAATATTTCAACACGAATAAAAAGTATCAGAATTTGCATTCCAGGCATTACTGGATAAGGTTCAACCCGAAGTTGGGATAACTGAACAATACCGAAGCTTGGGGTTGACCCACAGCGATAAATGCTCTAATTTATATTATTACAGTAACTATGATATCACACAAAGTCAGTATCACACTGAGAATATGATAGTGTATCATCACATTACAGTAACCCAGTTTTCTGCCTACTGACTTACTGGTAGCATCCAGTGGATGTCAAACTCTGTGGATGTCAGCACTTTGATGTCCTCTTCCTGATCCTCGGATACGTTCTGCTTAATGTGTATCTTGCAGACAAACAAATCAGGTCGGTCTGCCAATGTAGGGCTCAGGGCATATGTTACATATTCTGTTTCATTTTTCAGCAATTTTACATACTTTATAACCTAAATAGAAAACAAGGCAGCAAAGCTGTCAAATGTACAGACAAAAAACAGGAAATAACAAAATAGGCTACTGTCAATTCTGATGCAAAAGTACATTATGTTAAACTGCAAATTCAACATCAAATTTTAATTATGCTCAACAGGTAAAACCAATGTAAGTAAAATTTGTAACAAGCATAAGGCCTCAGGCCCATGGGAGTTCAAGTTCACACTTTGAAAATTTATAACTTCCAGTAAAAAAAAGCCAATTAGACTGCGTTTCCAACTCTGGCAGCATTTTAGTCCTGTGTCTCTTTTTTAAAAGTTTGGCAATCATAAGTAACATGGTTTTCCCATAATGGTCATCATGGTAGCAGCACCCAAAATTGTGTTTTCTTCTATTCTGATGCAATATTACATAATGGTTAACAGCATAATGACCATCAATTTTTAATAATAAAATATTAGTATCATGGATATTCAGAAAATGTGACTTCAAAGTCACAACTTGAAAATGCCAAAATGTAAACAAGACAGCATTGTGCTGAATTGTTTTTTCCATTTTTAACAATTTTTTTAATAAAACAAAATTAACAGTTTACTTCCATTTTTATATGATCAACTAAAAAAATTGATGAGATGGGAAAGATATCAATAGAACAGTGTTAAATGTCCAATTTCTTCCATTCTGAACATAGTGAATGATTGAATCTGACAAACTGCAATGATATGAGGTTATTTCCATTTTTTAAACTTTATTACACAATACACGATAACAAGTTTACCATCATTTTTACAAAATCAACTAACAATGTTGTAAGGATGCAGAAAATATCAAACAAACACTTTTACGTAACTTATTAGTTCAATAATGAGACTGTTAACATAAGCCTAAGAATTGAATCTGAGGAAATGTGAACAAAACAGCATAACTTCTAAAACAATGGCCTGATTATGCTGACTTTTTAACTCAAACAGTGTTTTAGCATGATTGACCACTCCTGTGGCTTTAATGACAATTGGTTGATCTGTTTTTCTTATATTGTGTTAACAGTGTTGCATATATGCTGAAAAGTGAAAAAAAAGCATAACTCCTATAATAGTGGCCCGATCATGCCGATTTTCGAACTTGACCTGCCTTTTATGAATATTCATCAGCTCTGTAAATATAAAGCCAAAAAGTAAACTGCCTCCACTTATCCTGTTTACAATGAAAGTGCTTGCAGTGTGGGTGACAACAATGACAGCAGCATTGGCAACAGCAGACGCAGGTGATGGCAATATGTACAGACATATCTATATATATTTACTGTACTGTTATAGAACAGTAAGTGACATGATTTTTCTTAAATGGTCATCAAGGGAGCAGTGCCCCAAGTTTTTTTTTTTCAAATTTTGATGCAATATTACATAAAGTTTAACAGCATAATGACCATCAATTTTTAATAATAAAATATTAGTATCATGGATATTCAGAAAATGTGACTAACAAAGGTTTTCAGGCCCATGGAACTTCAAAGTCACAACTTGAAAGTGCCAAAATGTTAACGAGACAGCAATGTTCTGAAATGTTTTTTTTTTTTTTTTATTTTTAACAATTTTTAACATAAAACAAAATTAACAGTGTACTGCCATTTTTTATATGATCAACTAAGNGTGTATGGCCGCTCAGATTTTAGACTTAAGATACTATGTAATTCCAAATCCTTTGGGAGGGAGTTGTGTACAGGACGTTTGGTTAGAAATTCCTGAAGTATAGTACAACTTGCACTGCACTGTTTCAGATACCGTACTTGTCAAATTGGTAAAATAGGTCAATTCTTGTGCACCCAATGCAAATGAAAATATAATTACGACAACCACAACTATGTTTTAAGTTTGCAATTAATGTTACAGTACTTGAGGTAAAGTAGATTCAATGTTACCAGTACAAGCCAATTGAGTGGCCGAGCATTTTGTGGCTATATTTTGGTATTCTCTTTCCAGGCTAAAGTACATAGACCAGTGGAGACCATTTAGAAGATCCACAGCTTCCAATGAGATGACATATTCTTTTATTTCACTTACAAGAGAGATGTGAAAAATGGCGATTCCCTTTGCAATTGAGGGTTAATTTAAAAAAACTTACCAAATTTGAGAACATTTTGGTCAAGGTATGAAATAGTTACAGGACTGAGACAGCAGATACATTTTTTTCAGCCTAGACAACCACTCTTATTATTTAGAAGACATTTCCAGTATATTGTTGTGAGAGTTGACGTTCTTGTTGACTGTGGAGAGAAGCTGGGGTCTTCTGGTTCATCAGTATTTTTATATTTAGTTTTTTATGTTTTATCAGTGAATGTTTCTGACACCTAAAGAGGTATTAATTTTAATTGTAATGTTTTTTAATGCAAGTTTGAATTATTTAAAATAATTTTACATTTTAGTTCTTTACCTGTGGAAATTTTTAGATTTAGAGTCAAATGCTGCTAATTGTAATTATTTTGTTGCTGCACAGTCAATACTGTCATGTTTTTCTATGTAAATTTATTTTATCAGCTGGGTGGAAAAAATTGAACAACTGGTTATTGAAAAGTGGAGTTACTGTCACAGTGTCAAATGATTGCACACATGAATGCAGAACAGTGGAATGGTAGATTTGATAAAGGAGTCCTTTTTATCCAGATGAATGTATATTCAATATTTATAACCAATTTGGCAAAATAATGGTTGTCGTTTAAGTGTTAAAAGTATAAAATGAAAAAAAAGGTTAAATTCAAATCATACTCAGTAGAACAATGTTTTCTGCAATTTTGAAGAAGTTGTATTTGATGACCAGCATTTTGTAACATTTCTGGGTGAAGATGTATTTAATGTACAGTTATGAGCCCTACTGCTTTTTGTACTTTATCTTATATTCACTGAATACTATTGGAACATTGTGATGGCTTATAAGCATGCTGTTGTAGTATTTATTCCATGGCCCTCTGTGTCCATGCCCTAGGAAGAGGTTGGTCTTAGACGGCATGAAAAAAAGTTGTCAGTTTTCCTAGGTTTATTACAATGAAATTGTTGATAATATATTAATGTAAATTTTTACATTCATATGGCTGACTCTGAAACTGTCTTTCATTAGTGATATGTCCATGTTAAATATACAGTATTCAGATACAATATGAAGTAAAAGATTAACTTGAATAGAACATTTTTTTTCATTCTTGAATTTCCCAACCAAGTGCAGCTTTTACAAACTTGAGGTGACTATTTGAAACTGTTTGGTGCAGAGTCCCATTCTCGGAACGTTCAGAAATTGTAATTTGTAGATAAAAAAAAAACTGAAATCACTGTTGCACATTGTATGTAATAACATCTTTTACGCAATGACTGCAGCACACAGTTGCTTCCCAAATAATTCAATCAATATGTGAAATGACAAAAACAAAACGATGCTATAATAGTTGATGGATGGATAATTATTAAAAATACTACATTGACATAACCTTCACTTTTTTTGCAAACAAGTTTTGCACTTCAAAACTTCTTAATAGACATGATAAAACTCTAGAATGAAATCTTAGACTTGGAAGTTTTTACAATAAGCAATATTATGTATAATCTGGTAAATATTTTCAAAAAATCTTACCTAATATCCATTTACATTTTACTTTTACTTATATTTCAACATTTCAATTAAAAAATATACAAATCTTGCAAATATACAGACACCAAGAAACAAGGCAGCAAAAGTTAAACTGTGAAATATTCAGACTACAGAAAAAAAAGTGTACATAATAATGTTTTGGCCAATTTTGATGCACTGTTTTATAATAGCATACTCACGCTTACCCTCTTGCATAATGCACTACAGGTAACATGAAAAATTGGCAATGATTCATTTCCATGTGATATAAAAGGCCCCGAAAAAATGTGATACTTTATAGGGTGAACAGTTTCATTCAGATCTATTTAGAACTATAATTCAGCCAGTCAAAATTCTAATTTCAAGAGGGGAATACTAGTGTGATTTGTTTTCAGAAATCAGGATCCCCCCTGACCCCTTCCCCACCTAAATCCACCACTGGTAATTTATGGCTAACGCAATGAGGACGGCAAAGAAAACGGCACATACAGAGGACAATATTAGTAATTCAAGCCTATCAAATCTGCTGTCGAAATGCCGTTTGTTATCTTCGACCGAGCTGAGTATTTTAGACACTATTGTATCTATCTCCTGTATGCTAAAGATGGATTTCTGTACCTTTTCAACTTCATTTGGATCCGCACCAAGTGCTAGAACAGAAGCACAGGCGATTTCCCACTTCGTGCAGAATTTCTCCATGTCTTGGATCCCATATTTGGCGGAATGCTGTATATAATTCCTGACATTCTTAAGCCGCTGGATGTGGTCGATGAAACCTTGTGTTGTTTGTGGAGGGGAAGGTAACGTGGCATTTTCTTTCGGCGCTGACCATTTCAGGTTGGCTTTGTCTGGGTGAAGTTTTCTTATCAATAACACTAGCAATGTAATGTCAAATGTTTCCACATCTGTATGACCAGAGGCAGGGTACAACAGATTCCACTGAGAAGCATATATGACTTTTGTTTTCTTGAGTTTCTCAAGTTCCCTTATCACGTCATGCTTACCAAAAAACTGAAGCACTGCATCTTTATCACTGATGTGCTCACCATTAGTGATGCTAGGCCTAACAACATCCTTGAGGAAGAAAGTTCTAATGACTTTCGTTCCAAGTTCAATAACGAGATAACTCAGCCTTGCAAACCTCTGTGTATAAACAGATGACACATCTGGGGCATTCGCACCTACTAATAGAAAAATATGATAATGATCAATGCTTTTTATACAAGAATTTTATAGGGAAAGAGAGAGAGTACTAAACTAGTGTGTGACTGTGTGTGTGTGTGTGTGTGTGTGTGTAAAACATACGGCAACCACCACTGCATTATGGGAGAAATATGTAGTCAGTGAAATGCACTGTCATATGAACAGGGGGTACATGCTAGTAACAATATGCTAACTCTTTATATTGAAGATTTGTAAGTTAAAAGAAAAAAATAGAAGTAACTAAAGGATCAGAGAGGCGATACCGCCTCCGAATATTGTACCACCAGCTGGAGTAAGCGCGATCATATAGACCCCCCCACACACACAAAAAAGGGACACCACCACCAGTCTTGTGCTTGACAAGCTGCTGAAAAAAATGCAATCAACAAGAATTTTCAAAATATGCAAAAAATATATATAACTAAAAATGGTACAATCAAAGTTCAGTTCATAGTAAGGTAGGTCAAAGGTCAATTCAAGGTCACAGTAAATTTCCAGTATATGACTTCCTATTCAAGTTCAATTGACCCATTAGAGCCTGCGTCATCAAAACAAGCGGCAGCCATGTTGGAGGGAGACCGGAATCGTCTGCTGCGCATGATTATGTCTAGTATTTAATTTCTGTATTTTCTTTGATATTTAACCGAGTAAAATGATGAATTACTGCAGGGTATATGATAGAAAGAAGATAACTAACTTTACAAGCGTTCACAGACTGCCTGCAGTGGTAACGACGACAGTGATAAGGGACGAAAACCGTAAACAGAGGAGAGACCTAGAAGTGGCTTTAAATCAAGACTCATTGGACAAGTAAAGGATAAAACTAATTTATTTTACAACAAAGAATGAAGACCCAGCTGTGCAGCATTTACCATAAAAGAAAAAAAAGTAGAAACCCAAAGACCGAGGTGTACAAGTTTGGCACGTACACTGCACATAATTATTGCCCAAAAAGTTTGGGTGAAGAGTGTTGTAAAAACGTGTGGAAATACCCAGGCAGGGTTTCGACTTTCATTATGAAGACTCACTTATTGCCTTGGGTGTAATTTGTTATCAGTTATGGTGCTCCCCGGATTTTATCGGCTGTCATCTACCTCTTAAATACCTGGTTAGCGTTATTGTCAATTAGTGTCAAGGCTACAGTACAATGTATATTTGTACACAGCTCAGCTGGGCCAATTAAATCAATTACCTGCGTTAAGTGTATTTGTAAGTTAGTAGCTTGATTTTAGATTTGGTGTATTGTTAAAAGTAAATCTATTTTGTAAGTATATATATTGTGGCTCAGGTATCATTTAATTGACATATAACCTAATGAAATGAATTTGAAAAATATTAAACTCTGTGTTTTCTAACTGTATTATGTTGCAAGTTACAATATGAATAAAAATAATATTGTTACCCGTTTTTGTTAATTTACATTTAGGGAATTGATCTGACATTTTCCCACCAAGCTGCACTGAATAATTGGGTGCAAGTATATCTTGATTATATATATATATATATATATATATATATATATATATATATATATATATATATATATATATATATATAGAAAAGCTTTTGATGAAAGGTACAAAAGGCAGCTACAGTGTGGATGACACACAAGGTAGAAGGCGCAAAAAATATTCTTATATCTTTGTGACCAGCTGAGGAGACAGGATCTGAACATCAGGAGAGTGAATCTCAGTGCATGACAGGAGTTATTCAATTTGGATTTGTTTGAAGCGGCACACAGAACTGAAAATATAACACTGAAAGGACAGTTCTCATTTGTAGGAGGAATTTTGAAAAAATGATCATTGGGTTCTGAATTTTACTGGTTTTCCTAACTTTTCTCTTTGAATGATTTTTTGAAGAGAATTGATCTGCCAAGCATTTTTATTGATTCTTTACTCCAAATGTTTATCATATTTCTGTATAAATCAAGAATCATTCTACCATGCATGTTAATTGCAAGTGACTTTAAATTGCAATCTCATCCTTTTCAAAATTTTTGCTCACATTGATTGTTAAAGAAAATTTGTACCCAAAGTCAATGTGCAGTGTTCATTTGTTGTTTTGAAGTTGTTATCCTTATAGCTTGCACACAACTAGGACAGGCATTCTATTTATAAAATATTGAACTCTCAAACAACGTTCTTGTAACATGTACTTCCTAATGAACCAAAATGAAGTACGGGGATGCTGAAAAAGTTTCTGACAGCTTCATGATGTACAGTTAAATAATATATCTGACAACAATATTTCTTGTCATAAGACAACCCTGCATACATTCCTCTTGAGTCTGTGAGGATTGATCCCGATGATCAGCTCAAATTTCTCCTTATATCTATCCTTTATGTAAAAAGTTGTTTCTATGAAAGATTAAAATCATGATTACACATTAAACTCTCTCAAACTATAAATGTTATAACCCAATGAACAAGAAAAATGAAGTACAAGATAACTGAACTAGCTTCTTACAATTCCACGATGTTGGGATAAGTCAGGATTTCAGGTCTTTAGACTGTCTTGAGTTTATATGGGTCAATCACGCTGATCAGCTGAAGTTTCCGCATGCATATATACTTTTCCTTTTGGTGTACGATCGCGATATGAAGTTTATTTTATTTTATTTGGTTCGTCTATATTTACGCTACTATTCCCCGTCGTTCTTTCCCTCCAGCATGGCCGCCGGACTAGTGTTACGGAGCAAATATGACGTCACTGTAATGGGTTAATAGCAACTATGGACCTATCTCTGCCAGTTTTGGAAATAAAAGGGAACCAAAATATGCCAACTTCAATTCATGATGAAAAGTAGGTCAAAGGTCAATTTCAAGGTCTCATTTAGATTGCCAGTATATGACTTCTTATTCAAGTTCAAAAGTAATTATGGACCTATCTCTGCCAGTTTTGGAGATAAAAGGGAACCAAAATTTGTAAACCTCAATTCATGATGAAATGTAGGTCAAAGGTCAATTTCAAGGTCTCATTTAGATTGTCAGTATATGACTTCTTATTCAAGTTCAAAAGTAATTATGGACCTATCTCTGCCAGTTTTGGA